GGGAGATTCGATGAGGTTGAGCTTTGGGTCATCAGGAATGGCTTCCATTTTGTCACGCTTTGCTCGCAGTGGAGAAGTAAAACCACTAGGCAGGAGTTCACCCCTCTTTGTCACCTGGATCGAAATGCTGTTGTTTTCAGCATGGTAATCTAGTGCTTCCAACTTTGCAACTAGATACTCCCCTCGCCATTACATTTGTGTCCTGGTTGCACACGACACACGATAACCCAGAAACACACCCTCTACCGAGGTAGGAGACAGCTTTCCTGCTGTATTGTCAGCTCTGTTGGGATTGTTCCAGAAAAAGGACTTTTACACCAAAAGGTATTGACATGCCTTCAAACAACTCTCCAAAGCGCAATTCCTATGGGCTTGGAGATGAAGAGAATCCAGCTGATCACTTGTGTTTCTTGCCATGGCGAAATGCTGAATGGCAAGTGGCCAGTACTGGAGAGGCAATCCTTGACTGACGAGATTGGCGCGTGCACCCTCTAGCATATTCCTAACTTCCCTTTCGATGAAGCTCTTGGAGGAGTCTACGTACTCAATGGGGGTTTGGTGGCGATACCCTAACTCCTTGATACCTGCGATCAGCTCACGGGAATTGTCAGTATAAATGGTCTCAACCGCATCACCAGGGCCAACAAACTGCTGATGCGCAGCAACTACCTCGTCAGCGCTTTTGGACTGGGCAGGATAAATGCGCCGAAACTGAGTGCGCAGATCCTTGACCACTATTATAACGCAACCCGCTCCCCTCGATGCCCTTCCTCGATGTTGGCCCTCACGACAACATGGTCGGCGATGAGGTGATCCTGGTTGGGACACGACTCTGACCCCCTTTCTTCCGCGCTTGAGGGGCCAGCGTCCGAGCTCGCTGACACCTTGCAGAAGGGGTTCTTGGGGAAGTGGTGAAACTGATGTTTCGCAGACTGTGCCTCACGCATCAGGTCTCCCACCTTCCGCGAACGCACCCGACGGCTGTCATCATCGTCTGGCACGCCTTCATCAAGGCCCTCTTCCTCTTTCTTGTCCGACGGGCTCGGGATCGCTCCCGGCAGTGCAAACAGCTTTTTCAGGGGCTTATCCTTCTTGAACTTACCCTTTCCAAAGGTTTTGCAGTCGGAATCGAGGACTGGGACACGACCATCTACGCGGAGGAGTTGGACAATCTTTTCATCCGGTCTCACCAAAATGGGAGTGCCATTGGCCGGCCACACAAAGCTGTACCCCTGATCAAGACACTTGATGCCTACGGACAACACAGCTGGGCACTCATCTAGCAAATACGGCGTGCGTGGCTCAAGCAGTTGGTTCATCTTAACATCCGCAACTACACTTGCTTCGGTGGACACATTGGCAGTAATCAGGCTGATTGCTTGTGAGGCTCTACGAGGATTCTCTGCACCCGCAGCATCCATAACCTTCCTACTGAAGAGATCTCGTTCACTCCCTGAGTCGACCAACCACGAAAACGTTCTCTCCCGCGGAGCCGGACCTGCCACAAGCGGCACTTGAAATGGCACAAAGGCTCATTAGGGCTCTCAAACTTGCGAACGATCTCAGCCAGTTGCCTTGCTCGAACTTTTGCAAGGTTGGCTGCTTCGGGTCGCTCTTGGGCACACGATCGCTCGTGGCGCAGCGCAGCTTGTGCTTACGAGGCTCCTTGATCATCTTGCAATAATCCCCTCGAGCAGGGATCGTTTGGATTTCAGGTTTCCTAACAAACCTGACTTTTCGGCTTGATGACTTCGGCCTATCCTTTGCAGGTGGCAATTGCAGCTTCTTGACACGTGATGGGCCTGGCAGGTCGGTTGCCAAACAGGCAAGGCATGCATACGGCAGCGTTCTTGGAACCCCCGTTCTTTTCCTTTCCGGGTTTTGGAGAATCCTTCCTCTTTTGGGGCAGGGGCTGCCTTGTCACCATGCTTGAAGAAACACTTGCCACCCCGTCTGCGTGTCCCTTGCTGGTCATGCCGACATGGAGTCCTAGCCTGGTCATCTTCTTTCTCTCTTTGTCTTCACTCTTGTCTCTCTGCTCCTTCTTCTCTTTGGATGGCTGATGCCTTCTAGAAGGATCACACCTGGGCTTTTCGTGCTTGAACTTACAGTCCTTCCCTTTGGTACATTTCCCCTCAAGGAAGGCCCAGCAAACACCCTTCTCCCGGGAAGTCGGCCGTCCACGTACGCGATGGAGAGCGCTTGCGGCGTGGGCCTGAGCAGGTGCCGCATTCTTGTCGTTGCGATCGCCTGGCTTCAACTTGTTCCGCTCGGCGATTCGAGATCGATTCTCACGAAGGCGTTCACGATCGGTCAAGTCCTTGATACTTTGCAATAGAAACTTGTGTGATCTATTGTCTTCACCCTCTTTTGCGCGATCAAACAGATCGATGTCATACCCCAAAATTGAACTGCTTCGAATCTGTCTCAGCAGTATGTCCCTCAACACATTTTCATGAGGTGGTTCGGGCATACCAGCGATGGTAGCGTCCCAGCGGTTGATGAATCGCTTCAAATCAGCCACGGTGTCGCCAACCTTCACCACGTTGAGAAGATCTTCAACCCGATACAGGCTCCCAGCTTCCTCAGAGGTCTTGAAGTAGTCGTCAAACATGATGCCTAGCTTTGCCTTCTCTCCTTTGTAATTGATGACCCGGTTAGCTAGGTCACCCTTTGCACTTCTGGTCCGTGCAGCTGCCAACTTGGTGTCCAGTGTCGTGAACTTACCAGGGTTGGACAAACGATCTTCCAAAACACTTCTTTCATCAACAGTGTTTTACACCTCCATCAACCAGTCCCACGCTGCATCAGGCTTGTCAGAACATAACTTGATTTCATCTCTTACATGATGTTTCCATTGCCTGTAGGTTTCGGGAGTAGGCATATCATTCAACTTGATGCGGTTTGCTTCCTTAACCTTGGGCTTCTCATCACCATCCCTTTGGGTGAGTAGTTTCACTACTTCAAGCACATGATCCGTAGTGATAGCGCCTGATGATGCTGGCTTGTGAGGCTCACGAATTGATGGTGCAGGACTATGGAATGCATTGGTTGGTGTTTTGCCATCGTCTGGAACTGCACCCCCATGGACAGGAAGGACCGGCTTGATAGGCGCCTTGGCTCCAGGCGGGGCATCGCCAGTGACGGCGGCCTCTGGCGCACTGGGCCCAAACAACCCGCTCAACCTTGCGCAATGTTCCCTTCTTTTCTTGCTCGCTTTGCCTAGGCGTCAAGCGAAGCATTCACGCTCGTTGGACAATACCCTTCTTCTTGCACCTTTTCAGCCCTGAGATCATCAATGATCTGTTGCAAGTTATAGCTTTCGGTCTCTGCATCTCGCAGATCACGCTGGAGCTTTGTCACACGCTCATCGAACTCAGCGCGAAGCTTGGCTACACCTCCTTCAGCACTCGTTGTCACAGCATTTACCGTCTGCTGGCATTCGCGCATGAGTTGCATACGCAAGGCATCCATTTCTGCTTTCGTCGCTTCTGCTTCCATAGCGTTGTCATTCTCCAATTTGAGAATACGTGCTTTGGCAGCGCCAAGTTCAGCCTGCAATTGGTTGCTACTATCTTGGACTTGGCGCTTCACAGAACTACGCTGTTCATGGTGTTTGCCTTCAACCTCAAGAGGATTGCTTGGTGGAACTTTGATCTCACGGTGTCCAACCATTGCGCCTTGACCTCCTTGTGCCTTCATTCGGCCTCAGCAACGATCGCTTCTTCATTACCATTGTAGACCTGTTGGGTGTTTTGTTGCACAAACTGAAAGTACGCAGTCACAGGAGCTGAACCCATTGGGTCATCTAGATCTATTGTGGGCGCAGTACCGAGACTGGCGGGCGCAGCTACCGATGTGGTAGGGTTACCAGGAAGAGCAAGGGCGTCCATGGCTGTGGTTAGAGCACTACGGCTGATAACCTATAAAATTGGCCGTTAAGCTACCGCTCCTGTTTTGGGCCGCGAGCTACAAGGTATGCATACATGATATCCTATATACAATGCAAGGCAAAAGTGTACATATTACTTGGAGTGAAAATACAAGATGCATCAAACGTCGCATTGAACACGCACATACGCACATCTGTTAAATGGCAGGACACAGTTGGACCGCAACCATTATTCCTGTGACCTAAGCCACTGTAAGTTGAAGTCGCGGCGTGGAATGCTTCAAGGGGGTTCACGCCGAAGTTCACGCGCTGTCTTTTGAGTTTGACACACTACGCTTGCAATCCCACGCTTTTCTTTGAGCGTCCATCACGCAAAACGTCACCTACACCCATTCAGTAGTCGCACGCAGGCATGCACTCAGGCAAGGAATCTTTCATACTGTTTCCCCGTCATCCTCTCGAAGTTACATTACAATTATATAGCGACCTGCTAAAGACTGCTGAGTCCACACGCTACAGGAAGTGGGCTGGGCGTACTCATGTTCCTTGGGAGAGTTTCTGGCCGGGGTGGGCGCGACTATTTACGCATCGGAAGTGACCATGGACAGCGAATTAATGGCGAGGTTGTGATTGGACCTGGTTGGTGGCCGAACCCAAAAAAGAGGAGGTGTGCAGCGGCGCGCAAGTACAGCAGTAGACTCACTATATCCAAGCACCAGCTCAGGTAAACAGAAGGATAAACATGGAGCCCGTATTTAGAGCCAAACAACTTGACTCACATAGCTCAGTTGAAAGCACACTCCAACTCAACAAAGTTCAACATCTTTGTGACACTAAATAACACGGGGGTCTTCGACTTCGACGACAATGCAATCATGCAAACTGATGCGTTGCAAAAATGTCCACAGATTCAGAAGCATGTCGTTGAGAGTGTGAGCACGCCACACATGAAGCAAACGGTTTGTTCTTAAAAGAGTGCTGCGTCGCACAACCTGATCAAGAATGTTTCAACTAAGAGTTTGATTAGAACCTCCGTGTGGACACCGCACGCGCTGTGCTCTGCGCTCACTGTGCATTCGGTGAACTGTTTCGTCTTTGGGCAGCGCACCACATGAATCTTCGCCTCGGAAGCTACCGAGGCCAAGAGGGCAACTCCTGCAGTTTCTCAAGAGCAACGAGAAAACAAAACAATCACTTTATAAACCCAAATGGAATTTGTGAATAACACATCTGCCCAAGTTGATTGCTCATTCAGAAGCCATTGTAAGCTGTGTTGAAAAGGCATCAGAATGGACGCTATGTCATGACTCTGATCAGCTGTAATTTTCAATTGTCGAAAAGGAGCAAGGCCAGGTGAACACGGTGAAGGTTCTTTGTTTCTGTTTCAATACGCCACCGCCGTCCTTACTGTCAGGCTACCTACGGCTTTGTTCCTGAGGCAGACAAACTTTGCACTGTTGAACGCTGTGGCGCCTGCAGCGCTTTGCTTACGAAGCTTTATAATCCAAGTTCGCCTCGAACTCGCCCAGCTTCGTTGTTGCTGTCCACAACCGTTTTTTGTACCGCTTTTCCTTGCTTTGCGTTTGCCTCTTTTACCGGGAGCCGTGCGCGAAAGGGTTCTTCCACAGAAAGGGTTACCATTAGTACACTTGCCTCTCCAGCTCTGCAAGCAGCAGACTTTACACTTTTAGACTGCTGCTTCAGACCTGATTGCATTAGATGCGCAAGTCCAGGCTTGAGACTTGCACATCTGCAGTTCGCACGTTGCCACAAGTACGTCTGCAGCTCGCAGGCCTGCTCCTCTAGAGTCACTGCTTCAGATGCCGCTGTACTACACGCGCTAATCGGATGCGCTGCTGCTTGAGGCGCATTCCTGCAATTGCCAATTGATGTGCAAGCAGTATGGGTTGCTTTGCGTTGTTGGGTGTTGCTGGTTAGTTTGGCACCAATGGCGCATTGTCGCTGGGGTGTTGTTTGTGGATGTCAGATGTGGCTTTCGCAAGGGCCCGGCTTCAGCAAACACTTCTGCTAACTTGCGCCCGAATATGAGTTCGCGCGCTCTTGTCACATCTCGGCTCTTTATATTGATCCTTTCTTAGCCGGCGGCCTGGCCGGACAGGGGCTGCGAAACGTTTGTGGACATACCTCGCAAGCTCAGGGGCTGCAGTGCAATAATTGAGCAGATCAGATTCTGTGGGTTGATAAGTGGTGCTGCCTGCACAGACTGCAACGATGCAGGGGCCTTCTCCTTCGTGGTAGGACTAGAGGCGCTCAGACGTGACGTGAGTGCATGGCGCGCGATGAAATCTCCGCAGGGATCGCGCGCGTTGGACAGTCAAACGTGAAGTGAATTGCAAATTCACCCTGTGGTCGAAGGACCCTCTGGAGGGATCACGCGCGTTGGGTGCCCAAGCGCTAGGTGAATTGTCTCAGGGCGGCGAAACGCGAATTCCGCATTTGTTTGATGAACCCTAAGCTCTGTGGGGATTGCGCGTGTCAGGTCTTCAACCAGGTGAAACGCGAACTCAACTCCCACTGTGCTCCATGAGCCGTCGGAAGTGATGAAATGCGAATTTTGGGGAGCGCTCAAATAAGAAGTGGGATGCGTTTCAAGGCTGTGGTGAACGCTTTGCAGAAAAACATGCCGAGTTGCCAAACAGAACTGGCAACTTCGTAGTACGCATTGCGGGAAGCAGCTTCTCAGGAGTGCCAAATTGGCAACTGTGTATAGGACGAATGTAGTGCGGGAAGCGGCTTCTGTATGGCCTCAGAACGGGCAATTTTGCAGTACAAATGTGATGTGGGAAGGGACTTCTGGGAGCTGCGGCATCAGAACTGGCAACTTTGTCGACGCAGGCCACTTTCAGTGGAGGCCATTCTTTGCGCGCCCGTAGGGGGGTAAGAATTGCTCTAGCTTTTGACTCTTTGTTGCTAGACAAGACGCCATGCGCTCAGACTTCCCCAGGCAGGAAATTGGCTTGCTTTTTCTTTGCCGCTCAGCAGCTAGAGCTATTAGCAACAAACAAAAAAGGCTCGCGGATTGATTGAACGCATGATTTCACACTTCAACTAACCAGCGCTATTGAAAAGCAAAGCAAACAAAAAGCCACCAAAAGCAGTTGCAAGGTCAGGTCGGCGCCTTCTTTGCTAGCAAAACGAGGCGGTGTGGACCTCGGGATGGAAGACAGTGTTTGGACAATCTGAATCTCAGTCGTTCACAAACTCACTGAGTTCCCATGTCGCTCGCGCTGATCCCAGTCTTCCCACAACGAGTGTGCAGTGCAGGAGCGTTCCTGCCTCTCTACACTCCGCGCACGCACGTTTCTGGTTTCCTCCCTTGAGATTCTCCCAAGAAACACTACGACCAACGCCTCGCCAAAAGCATTGCGCAAATTGGTTGCCTTGAAAGAGAATCAAAGATCGGCGTCAATCACACCGACTAAGAAGTGAAGCATAGTGGCATAGTGTATAGTGGACATGAAGTGAAAGAAGTGAAGTGATTGAGTCTTGGTCGAAAGAGCAAAAAATGATCGAACTTCGAAATGTCTCCGCCAAAGCCTTGCTGTCTTGGAAACGGCTTCCGGTGGGCTATTGGTAATGCGGGATCACACCACAAGAGCCCTCCCCGTACAAGCGGCCTACTCAATGCACAACAAAATGTGTGCCTCGCGAAGAGCATCTTGCTCATTTAAATATAGATTTGCTAAAGATGACAAAGGCCACCTTCTCAGTCTTGCAAGACCTGAGAGGCATTCGAACATGGCAAATCGAGGGGTCAAAAATTCGCACGCGAAACTGTTAGGGGAAATCAAGCAGCGTGAAAAAAACGTTTGGCGTGCGTCAGCGGCCAAGACGGGTCGCCCGAAAGTAGGGCGAACACGATTTCACAGTTTCCGTTTCGGTAGGCCAAGCTGAAGGATCAGTGGCGGACATGAAAGCTCTACTTGCTCCATTGCATTCTTCTCCTGAAATAACCAGCAACAAACAATACCTACGAATAACACACGATCGCGTTATGAAAGTACACGCGCACAGGCCAATCAACTTGAATAGCTCTATTTTTCTCCGCGTCCCGCGGCGCGCCTTTGAGCGCGCGAAAAGCTGGGATTGGTCATTGAGGAGCCATTCCTGGCAGAACGGAGTGGAGTGACGTGGCGCAAGACGGCTTGGAAAGGCGAACGACGCAGTTAGCTCAAAGGTTCCATGGCAGCGGGCTTTGCGTGAAAAGCAAATGGAAAAAGGCTTCATATTCACCACGTTACATCATATTCTCTGTTCCTATTTCATTTGACAACTCTGTGTTGGTTATCTCGCAGAGTCCTTTTGCACTCTTGAACACCCAGAGTGGGGCTGCGACACAATCAAAATACCCAGCGCGCTTTCACCCCAACACACTTGAAGGAACGCGAGCACGTATGACAGGACACGCAAGAGCAAAATCCGCAGCGCATTGCGGGACAGCGCTGACACGCACACGGAAGCTTCATAGCCACGATCTGTGCCACACGGTCTTGTCAAGCTGGGCCGGAGTGGACCGACGCATCACTGGCAACCACGCAACCTGGAATCCATAAATTCAGTGGGCTGCGTGATCGAAACGAAAAAGACCGAGCCCAAACCCACGCGATTTCAACCATGGTCCCAACCAGCCAAGCTCTAAGGCCACGCAGGACCAAACATCTGACACCTGCTTTTGGCACTCGTGGCCTCGAATAAGGCCAGTGAGTGTGAGGCTTATGTCCAAGTGGCTGAACGCTGCCACCAGATGGCGAAATGGAAAGTATTCCACAAATGTTCGCAACGAGGGCAGATTTACTGCGCGCGTTGCTTTCACGGCAGGAATTGCCAAGTCTGCTACACATTGATTGGACTTACAGCAGGAGTCCTTCGTGAGGTGCATAGCCACCCTGCGCCACAGCCCGCACTATGGCTGATAACATCAAATGATGTGGCTTGAAGAAACCAAAGGTCGTCAGCTGCTTGTCAGGAAACCACAAAGGTGGCGCTGCAACACCGACAGCTTAGGTTCTTCCACAGTCTCACCACTTCCTGACTTGCATAGCGTGCTTTTTGAAGGTCTAACATGTCCAGATGCAAAACCAATCAGCACCAACACAAATATTGACCAATATCAACAAATATCTCGAACAATATTAAAACAATTTTTTTATAACATTGAAAACGTTTGAGGTCAATCGTAAAGTTTGTTTTTCAATCTTTGACCCTAGGGTCATTTTCCTTTCATCTGAATTCCACTGACCTCTTCGGCCTCTTCCCATTCATCTGAATTCCAGGGAGCTCTCTCCAGTACCAATTCCCTCTTGTTTCTTTTTCGTTTCCTTTTGAGAATCTGTTAATGAACTACATGTATCCAGGTCACAATGACTGATATACTCAGACGAGCGAGCTGCGGGCCTTTCACATGATTCTCAACCGAATCCTGCTGTCCGTTCGATCAGTGTATCGGGTTGCCTCAGTGATGATTGCGTATATTCTTGATCCTGATGGGTGAATGTATATTTCTGCATTATGTGAGTGGTCCAAGGGCGGAGCGTTTGAGCACCGACTCAAGCTAGTTGCGGCACTATGTCAGCAAGGAGAGCCGGGCCCGCAACGTCGCGGCGAGATCGCTCAGCTTTCAAAGTATAGTACCGATACAAAAGTCGCAAGGCGCGATGCCCGACCAACAGTGGAGCGCCGCTGACCCACTTTCCTTGACCGGCTGAAGCTTTACCATCTTTGCCGTGGCGGGGTCTGCGCGTTTGTCATCAGCGGCGGACGCTGAAACCATGTTGGAGTTGCCCAACGCTAATTTTCGCGCGTTCGCCATGCCTGCGGTTGCTTCCTTTCCCGGCTTGAATGTCACGAGGCAGGCATCAACAAGTATTTTCAAGGTGTGGCAGCAGGGCCAGCCCTTGCCTTCCAAAGCGTTGTAAATTGGCGTTGGCACTTTTGTCATCGCCCTGTTGTGGAGCCGTGAATTTGCACAGCCCGCAAGGAAGGGCCTGAGAGAAGGCCAGACACAGAAGAGAAAGGCAACCAGCGCAAGGGAGAAGGCCAGAAAGGCCCGAAAGAAGGAGGCAGACTGCCAGCTTTGGGACGAAGGCTAAAAAAGGGCCAGAAGGCCAAAAGTCTCAAGGAGACAAAAGAGGAAGGATAGAAAATGACACAGAAGAAGGAGGTGGACTCTTCAGACATCTAGAGGCTTGAAGGAAATCAACCCAGTGTGGCCGCAACGCTTCACCTGGGAGAGGCTTGATAGAACGAATTGAGGCTGACACTTGCCGGAAGAAATGGTCTAATACATAGACACGCAAGCAATGAAAAACCTCTATTAAAAGGGAAAAGCGTCATATCACCTGCGAATTCTATCTACTCAATTTATCATCGGTATTTTCGTCAGAGTCATTTATATTTAAAAAACCCTAAGCTTGCGCGACCCCGCAGGCAACTCCACACGACTCCACAAAACCACCAACACCGCAATATTTCCTCAGGAACAACACGGGGGCTCCACATGAATGCCACCATACACGCCAGCCATTTTCCAATCTAAGAGTCTAAGAGGTGAGACGCCACCAAAAATGAAACGCACCACCAAAATGAAACGCCTAGCAAGGGGCCTAGCCAGGCACGCCTGCAAGAAGACCCCCCAGCTTGCGTCCACAGCGGCGCAGATCGGCTGCAAAGAAGAAAAATAATGGAATTAATGGCTTAGGTACATGTGGGTCTTACCCAGATCATTGCCACCGAGACCTCTTCCGATTGCTGAAGCGCAAGTTTGAACATTCCAAGAATGGAGGCTTGAAAGAAAGCCCGACAGTATCCACAGAGGTGCCAGCTTTAGACTCCAAAAAAGAGCCCAAAGACAAAGGCCATGCGCAACATAGTTGCGCCACACCTCCTGGTTTGGCAGGCTTGCAAAAGCCAGAAATGTTTTGGACAGGCCTGACCCCAGACCGTGGGACAAGGCGTTAATGCTCAGATCATGAAACCGAAACCAACCAATTGCAAAACCAATATTGACCAATACCAACCAAGATTAAGATCATGACCCCAAAAAGGATTGATCGCGATATTGATTTTTCAGGCTTCCATGCCAGTGACTCAGTGACTTAGAGCCACGAGATTTCTGGTCATCGACTAACTCATAAGATGACGCAGAGAGTGGGATGAAGAGCCCGAGAAGAAGAGCCTGGGAAGAAGAGAATAGGAAAAGGAAACTGGAAAGAGGAGACTGGAAAGAATCATGTTGGGATTCAGCAAGCTTCAGTGGTCTTGGCGTTGCCAAAATGTTTTGGTTTTTGCGCGTGCGGCTCAGCATCTTTTGATTTCGTGCCAGCAAAGCACATGTTTGTTACCGCTACTAGATAAGCGTCACATATTTCTTGCAAACAAGTTGAGCCAGATGTTGTACACCATGGTTTGCCCAAAAAGTAGACAACGTGCAAATATGTTCAGTCGAAAAATATGTTCCGCATTTATTTTGGCCTTGGCAATTCACCGTCAACGATTCTACCCCCAACAGTTTACTTAAAACCCTCCCCACCGTTTTATTTCCTTTGCAAATGCGGCGATTACTTGTAATCAGGGTTTTCGTTGGAGGTCCCCTGTTGTCAGAGGCCGACATTGATACTTACGTAGTGTAGAAACCAGCATCCAGCACGGTCATCAGAGTAGGTTTCTTACGTGTATCGAGGTCGCGATGACTGATATAGTAGTTGCGCTCCTGGCTGCTGATCAAGGCTCGGCATTCGAAGTGGTGGGTATTTGGGCGGCCAAACCGCTCAGCTTTCAAAGTAGTACCGATACAAAACGTCGCAAGGCGCGATGCCCGACCAACAGTGGAGCGCCGCTGGCCCACTTTCCTTGACCAGCTGAACCTTTACCATCTTTGCCGTGGCGGGATCTGCGCGTTTGTCATCAGCGCCGGCGCGCGCTGAAACCATGTTGGAGTTGCCCAGTGACCCCACTGCTAATTTTCGTGCGTTTGCCACGCCTGCAGTTGTTTTGTCTCCCGGCTCTAAAATCGCAAGGCGTAGGACACTTTTGTCATCGCCCTCTGTGGAGCCTTTGGGAGAATCCGGTCAAGGGCTGCGCGTGAGTCGCAGGGGACGGCAACTAAAGATGACCCTCCAGATGGGCACCCTTCTCCAGGGCACCCCTGTTCATAGGAAAACTAGAATCACATTGAAGCACATCAAACCTCATTTAATGTTATTTGTGCACTGTTTCGCTTTGAATACGCAAAATGATTTAAACTGATTTAAAAGTGTACTTGTCACCTTTGTATCTCAATGCGAGGTTCAATAAAAGCTCGACAAGCAAACGCTTTAAAATACTGTGTTTGAGTCAGCATTTCATTGTCATCCTCATTTTGCTATGAGTTTGTTTTTTCGGAATTGAAAGTATATTACTATTGGTACTTCAATCTGTTTTAAAAAATTGTTTTCAAATTGTGAGTTTTATAACCAGCTAAACCTTTGGGCTGTGCAACCTTCACTGACTGACATTCATTCATGAATCATTTGACATGGTAGGCACAAGAACTAAATGCAAGCTGACTGACTGTCACAATGCAAATTCTTAGTTGCTGTTGCTGAAGGGCACTGTGCAAGTAAGATTTCATGAGATGCAAGATTTGGAGATCAATTCATGTGCTACTGAAGCGGGCTGGTCAAATGACTGGATGATGGTTTGCCTGCAACCCAAGGGGAAAGCTCTAAGAAGACCACCAGCGATCAATAACGCATCGATCCTGTCGCACGTTGCGCCAACCCCAGCAAGAGCAGTTCCTGTTCCAAAGGCAGTGGCTGCTAGGCCCAATGATGGGAACAGCACTGGCGTTATTGCTGAAGGGCACAGCGCCACGGTCGTTGATGCGAATGTCACTGCTGTTCCTGATGTTGATGGGCCCCGCGTCGCACCTGTTGATGACGGGGGCAGCGCTGTTGCTGATGGGCACCGTGCCGCCGTTGCTGATGCAGTTTCTGGCGATGGACAAAGCGCCGGTGTGCCTGAAGAGTCGCTTGCACAACAGCGCATGATCTGTCATAATGAGATGGTGGAAAGTGAGCAAGAGCTTAGAGCCCTGTCATGTGGCCACATGGAGCACTCGGAGTGCGTGAACACGTACATGGAGGTTTCAAGCAAAACGCTAGACGAGAGCTGCCCTTACAGGTGTCACCAGTCAATCAGGGCCATCATGGCTCCGCTGTAGACCAGCCAGAGGCTTGAAAGATTTGATGAGGGTTTGTCAAAGTGTCTGACTGACTGCGTGGTTTGACCACATGCACTCAGTGAATTTTGCCTTATGAGATGGGTTATGGTGTAGGAAAAATACCTACATAATAAGAGACTACAGCCAGCCAATTAGTTCTGTAGTGAGTGGCATGACATGTCATCTTTGGAAAAATGCACGATGCTGGATTGTGATTCAGTGTGGTGCTTGATTGGTTGTTTGAATCAATCAAAAGGGTTTCCCTTAGCCTTAGAGATCAGTGTGTCTTATGAGTGTGAACAGTACTTTGCTTCTTGAGCATCATTGGACTCCAATAACATTCTACACGCTTGCTTGTCAGTGTGGCAATTGGAGGATTTCAGCTCAGTGTATTTAATCGAGTCACTGTGTTGCGCTCTTTGTCTTATTGTTGCTCTTTCAATGAACAAATTTCAAATGTTTCCGGAGCTGGAGTTGCACTTTTGCGACACTTTGTTGCACTTTTGTGTCACTTGTGTGAATTTGCAAACGTCAGCTTTTTGCACTTTTGCGTCACTTGTTTGCACCTCTTTGCACTTTTGCGTCACTTGTCTGCACTTCACTGCACTTTAAATCTTATTGGTCATGAAATCTGAGGGTAAATCAACGTCAAACTGATTTGAGCTGATTTGGAACTAAAAACATCTAGGCGCCACTATCGTGACACCAAGACAGCCCTGCTGGGCGGCTCAGTGGTGCCTCCGGTCTCAAGAAGTGCTCTAAAAAAATCCCGAAAAGAATAGTAATGATTAAAGTATGAGTCAAAAAAGTTAATAAAACATTTGTGATGGAGTTGTTTTTGTTCGGCGCACTTGGCGCGCAAGAGTAATGCATATGTTTATTATAGTGAATAAATAACGTGTATGATGATGGTATTTGATTTGAACAGTGCACATTGTGCTTTCGCTTGGTGTCTGAATATGAGTGTGACCCAAGGCAAGGCTCTTGTGAGAATGAGGAAATGGGTTGGTCGCTGGGAACTCAATCCGTTTCGGGCGATCGTCAAACTTTTCCTGACCAAGCCAGTAGTGCGACCTTTTGGCGCAAAAAACAATTTCAATTCTGGTGCCAAAAGGGCGCGCCCTACACCCTCCATATGAAGCCTCGCGGACTCTCATATTTGAGGTTCGGTTAGTTACTTAGGGTCTTAGGGTGAAGTTGATCTTGGACTTGCTCAAAAGAAGCGTGGGAAGTTGAAAGAAAGCACTCTTCTCAAGCGCTTCAAACCCCGCAACGAAGTAGGAAGTTCGAAGTCGTCGATGTCGGCAAATTACTTTGATTAGTAGTAACGCGTCGTTTTTCTGCTGAAAAGAAGTCACAAAAGAGCGTCTGCCAAGGAAAAATCACGCGCTGCAATAGTAGCCGAAGGTCTCCGTGGCGAAGTAGCAGACTCCCGACTGAAACTGGTGATTTGAATTGGGGAGAGCCCTATTTCATTTCTGACCTTCAGTGTATTCTTCAAGACCTTACTTGAGCTGGATAAGTCCAACAACTCTTTGGCAACATTACACTGGTGTCCAATGCTGTTCACATTCTTTCCAGAAATGCAGGGCTGGTGCTTGGTTGACACGCTCACAGCCTTGGTGCTGCGCTATTGGAAGACCTGTGCCGAGATAGCACATAAACCTTAATTTGACTTTGTGGAGTATTTTGCAGGCAAGGGCAACCTTAGCCGGGCACGCATCAAAAATGCGTGGCCTGCGATGGATACCCTGTACAGCGAGGAACATCATGAGTTGACAAAGCCTTCTGGACTGCAGTTGGCCTTGGAGAGCATTTTCAGCTGCAAGAACCTTACTTGCGCAGTGCTCTTCAGCCAAAACTTGACTAGTTTCAAACACATTACTTGTCACAATCCCTGCCAGCACAGTGCTCTTCAGTCAAAACTTGACTACATTCAAAAAACTTGCTTGTTACGATTCCAGTCAGCAGAGCGCTCTTCAGCAAAAGTTTTTCTAGATTCAAAAAATCTCGCAGTAACAACCCCTGCCAGCACAGTGCTCAGCAAAATTTCGACTAGTTACTATTCAAAAATCTGACAATCCCTGCCAACACAGCCAAAACTTGACTACTTTCAAAAAAATTGCTCAATGCCTTCAGCCAAAACTTGACTAGCTTCAAAAACCTTACTTGTCACAATCCCTGCCAGCACAGAGCTCCCAAAACTTGACTAGTTTCAACCTTACTTGTTACAATCCCTGACAGCACAGTGCTCCTCGACTCGTCGATTATCGTAAAGGAACCGTTTGCTCTTAGTACTTGATTCATTGTACTTTGTAAGTTCACTTGTCGCTCGACTCGTCAACTTATCGTAAAAGGAAACGTTGTACTTTCATTTTGTTTGCAAGTTCACTCGTGGCTCGACTCGTGGACTTACTCGTGAAAACACTTTTGGCTCACTCATACTTTTACTCGGTGAGAATTTTTGAACAAAATCATTTCTAGTCATATGTAATCTTTTTTGTCTCATCTTTGATCTTACTTAAGATCAACTATGATTAAAGCAATTTCAAAACTGCAAAAAAAAGATTAGCCAGGGTGCCCTCAAAGGGTGCCCATCTGGAGGGTCATCTTTAGTTTACTGACGTAGCCTGCTCCCGACCCAAAGACAAGCACCTGCCACCTCAGCACCAGCTGCGTGCACCACCTCCTAATACCTAAGGAAATAGAAGACCAGGTCCGAGTCATCCTGAACCTCACTCACAGGCGGCCACTCGGCGACAGTGAGCATCGAAAAGACGGGCTGGCTATTTTGGTGAAGCGTTGAGCCAAAGTGTCAAGACGTTCCAAGCATCGGGACTGGTCGTGCGGCAACACAACTCATAATATTTTTGACACGTGACTCTTCAAAATGATTTCCGACACACCAAGCCTGCACATGCACTATGTAGGAACATGTTCTTGTTTGTCTAAAGCAAAAATTTGTGTGTTTTTCCCTCAGAAACCACAGCAAATTCGTTTGCGTCCCACGCGGACCCTACACAGGACTGGTCCAGAGACATCGCAGGCTGCCAGCGGCCCGGCCTTGAGTATGAATTACGTCCGAAAGGAGAAAAGAACACAACATGACTTGCGCTGTTGACGCAACGGCTTGTCACTTTCCGCTTTAGTATTTCGTTTGGGCGTAGGTTAACAGGAGATGTAAGTAGCTGGTAAGATTTCAAGAGGAAGCTCCTAGTAGCAAGGACGCAGTAGATCAATCGAAATTGAAGTGTCTGCCCCGGGGAGAAGCGTTGAAACAAAATAAAGAGAGGAGCGAAAGAAGAGAACGGCTCCAACGGGACTTTGTTCAAGAGCCCTCCCTTCTTTGTTTCTTCTCTTTGTTCATCCATGTTCCTAGACATTTCTAGTCTTATTTTTGTTTCGACAGGGTTCGTGCGTCATTTGCTGCAATTGCATGGAACCAAGGCAAGCGCCAGTGACATGATGACTTCCGTCATAGTTCGCCAGTGAAGCGACTGCTGGGCAGGGCTTGGCTTGCTTCTGGGCACTTGAGGCCCTCTTATCTTGTTTTTTCTTGCTGTCCCAGCATGTTTGAGCAAATGATCAAAAGCTGCGCCCCGACCAGAAGAAGAGAGCGCTGGACGCTTGTTTCGCGGTCGGTCACGGTCAACTTGTTTCACACCTGATGCGTTGGTGCGCTTTTTTTGGCCTTTTGAATAAGGCCATGAAAGAGTTGAAACGTGTCGCGCACTGAAAACGAATGAAATAATAGCACCAAAAGGACTCGAGCACCCCCTTCTTGCCAAAAGGTGTCACCTTCTTGCATCAAGGAATCAAGAGACATCGTGATGGAGGAACTGGCGGGAACCGGGTATCTTGGGGTTCACAAGTGGGGAGTGCACTCAGTGTCCGTCTAACTTGCCGGCGCACGATGATCCTTGAACTTTGTTCCACAGATTAGACCCCTCTACAGTTCACAAACACTGAACAAGTGGCCCCTGCCGAAGTTTTAAAGGGAAGAATTGTCAGCTGCTTGGCCCTGCTTCGCTGTAGATTCCCCATTCGAGTAGTGACCGACGAAAGCTACATTACATAGAAAAAACGCGCCTTGTGGAAAGCCACGCAGGAGACTTAGCGCAATGCAGTTCCATATACATAATGCAATCTTCCATCAACACTGCAGGATAAGAACAAAATAGATTTGTTTCAGCCAACTCACTTTTGTGACCCTCACACCCTCCAATTTCAGCCCCTAGTAGCGTCCTTACCCCTAGCAGTAAGGCCAAGAACTTCTAGTAGTTTCTTGTTACTAGTAGTAAGGCTAGGAGCCCCTAGTAGGCGGTCCTTGCTCATGTTTTTCGACGCGCAGACTTTTGCGGCGCAAATGCGGCGTAGATGTTGCAGCGCCAAAGCGGCACGTGGCTCTGCAAGTGAGATGTGAGAGTCCCTTCGGATCCACAGCCGCCGTCACTCTATTTGTTGCAGCATGCCAAGCTCAATCCCAATTCGTTGGGGCAGCAATCTCCAGCCAATCCTGCAAGATCTGTTTAGTGACTTGACCTGAAACCTTCCTCTCTTCAAAGATTCATTCGCACTCAACACATCAGCCACAGCGGCATTGGCAAGGCTCTCCTGAACACTTTGGATGCCGACTGCACGAGGACTGAGACTTTTCAGGCGAAGGGGTTGTTGACTGCTGATACTGCTGCTGTTGCTGCTGCTGTTGCTCCTCAGGAAATCGCTGTGAGCGCCGCTTCGTTTGAGAGCTCACACGAAAGACATTTCCTCCGTGTGTTGAATCGTTTTATATATTTATTGCTTGTTCATTCTATCTCAAGTTGAGCACTGTCTGCTTTCAGCTCCTGCCACCTGTGCAGATCGTCGCTTTGGGACCACTGCTGGTCGGGTGGAAAAAGATTAGGGTCTCGCTGGCAACCTCCGTATGTTCCTCTTCAGCTCAGGCATACTTTGACATGCGCTAGAAAATGTCTGAGTTTGCAACTGTGATTTCCAAGGTAGATAGATAGATAGATAGATATGCTTGGAAGACGAAAGTTGTTCTTTTTTGTTGTCATTCTGCCATAGAGGCAATTGGCATGACTCCATGACAGGTTAATTTTGAGTTGCAGGTCACTGACCTTGTAGAGCACCACGGCGCGGCTGTGTCTGATCCAGAAAAAGACAGCCCATCGAGACCTCTTTCTATCCATCCATCAATCTATATATCTATCTATATCCATCTATCTATCTATCTGTCTATCTATCTATCCATCTATCTATCCACCTGTCGATCTGTCTATAGTCAGTGTTCATCCACTCGATGGAAGTACCATCCATGGAGATCAATCTCCTAAGGAGAGGGCTCAACTGATCCGTGGATTGCAGGCGCGCGCGTTATCCAGGCCATTCATCCGGGAGAACTCAACTAATCTGCAGGCATCTTTGAGCTTGACGAAGGACTTGTTCCATCGCTCCTGAAAGAGACTGCGCCGTGGCTGAAGGTGGAGTCTTTGCAAAACATCTTCAGTGTGCCGGTGAGTCACATGTTGAGGTGAACGACCAACACGTCGAATATCAGCGCGGGCGCCTGCCAGGACGGAGACAGAAATAACATTGTTGGCTATGCTCTCATCTTGCGCAGCGTCCCATCGTCTGCCGACTTGCCTCTGGATAGCCTGACGTGTCAGCTCCGTGTTGGACACGCAGCCGATGAAAAGGTTGGAGAAGCATCCCATTGTATTCGATCCTCAGCTCACTAGGGTGGGCCTGTGCAGTGAGCTGAAATCTCGCCAGAACATCACGCACCCGCCGGTTCAAAAGCCACCTCAGCAAAACTGGCGCAGTGGTCTTCCAACTGGAGAAGATACTCAACATACCAGCGTTGGAAATGAGCCTGTGATCGTAGTGCCTCCTGCGAAGCCATTGCTATATATAGCACAACCAAATGGCGGCGTCATGAGTGTAGTGTCGGGCCAAAACTCCCATGGTCCATCCTGCAGATCAGCCCAGCCGTACCGACTCCACGAAGCTGATGCCTCTAATCCATGGAATGAGATAGATGAGGTGCCCGCGTGGCTTCCTGATCAATGAAGTTGAAGACCGTGAGCGTTCGCTGCCCGGTTCCCGGAACAGACGGTTAATACCCTCCTCAAGGAAATCAGCCCATGTTTGTGAGGCCTCCCAGTTTGCCAAAACCGCAGTCTCTATCAAAATCTCAGATACATCAAGTGAAGAAAAACTATCGGTTTATCTGATTGGTCTGGTTCCCTTTGAGGCCGAAACAGCTCAACTTCTCAGCTCTCTCCACAGGTTCTTCACACGATCTCTTCATCCACCCGAATCTCTACATCAATCCTCTGCCATCCTAGAGTACTTTCTGGACAGTACCGTCCAGTCGTGGGTGCTTGGCTGCTCTTCCAAAGGGGCACATTGGATCTCTTTTGCGCTGCTCGTCCACATCCATCTTCAAAGCCCCTCGAGCTGTAGTCTTCACCGGTTCGACAGGCGCTCGAGCGCTGGCAGCTACCTTGCGGATCTCCTCTCTGCCTTTGGTCAGCTCGGCGTTCTTCACCTCCAGAACTTGTAGTTGGACTTCTCGTGTATCCCTGGAAATCATGAAGGGAGACAAGCATGGGAGACAAGGCGGCAGCGGCAGCCAAGAGCGAAATCATGAAGGGAGAAGCTTGGGAGACAAGGCGGCAGCGGCAGCCAAGAGCGACAACATGAAGGGAGACAAACTTGGGAGACAAGGCGGCAGCGGGAGACAAGGCGGCAGCGGCGCCACAAGCGAAATCATGAAGGGAGAAGCTTGGGAGACAAGGCGGCAGCGGCGCCACAAGCGAAATCATGAAGGGAGAAGCTTGGGAGACAAGGCGGCAGCGGCAGCCAAGAGCGACAACATGAAACGAGACAAGCTTGGAAGACAAGCCGGCAGAGGCAGCCAAGAGCGAAATCATGAAGGGAGACAAGCTTGGGAGACAAGGCGGCAGCGGCAGCCAATTTCCGCAATCCGGAACCCTTCCATTGAGAAGTAAGAACCCTTATAGCTTCCAGCTATCTGGGGAAAAAGATAAGATCAGATACGAGATAGGATAAGGTAAGATTAAATCAGATTAGGTTTGAATCGATTTGATCTGGTCCGACGAAATCACATCACATTAGATTAGACAGGTAGAGGTGGAAGGATCCATTCTTCGTAGCGGTCCTTGACCCGCAAGATAAATGAAACCAGGGATGCAAAGACACCTCAATAACTGAGGCTCAATCTCGAAGGGTTGTAGGAATCGTGATGTGTAAGGGCCTAGTGTTTCTGAGGCGCTTGGAATCTGAGCAAACTGTGAATTTGCCACTGCACTCATTGAAGTAGCCTCACATCTCACGTTCAGCTCTCTGAGAAAAATACAAGCCAACATGAAGTGCATAAAATGCAGAGACACCGTTTGTTGGAATTCTGAACCACGCTTGCAAGGTACCAATGTGAGCATTTGCACACGGTATCGCGCGACAATAGTCTACACCAAGTATCAGGTGGCTCCAGTGTCTTGCGGCAGCACGACCTGAAAGAACAAACAAAGAAACAGGACTAGAGAAAATAAGCAAAAACATTAGTAAATGGACAAGAAACATGTCTTTCCTGCCAAACCAATCACGGTTGGTTCAGTTTGTATTCACAAAATTTCAAGGGTTGCACCAAAAGGCCAAAAGGTGTCTGCGCTTCTTGCGCGACTGCAAAGTTGCCTTTTGAGAAACAGGACCGTTGTTTTGACTTTTCCAGGAAACAAATCAAACCGCCCAGCTCAAACACCCGCACGGCGCCGCCCAAGTCGCCTCTCTTCCTTCTGGGGTATAACGATGCACGCATTGTTTGACGCGCTCGCTGTACACAAAGTCCATCTGACCAGAGTCGATGAACAGGTGAGCTTTCGAAACGTGATGCGTTTTGTGTGCTTTTCTATCACAGCACGCAACCCGGCACGTTGATTGCGTTCCCGGCCTGGCAAACGCACCGAAAGTGGTAACACTCCGTTGGCCCAAGGCGTTGCTCGCAATTCGACCACATACAAATGTTGCCTGCAGCGCAACCAACACACCATTGCAAGGTGAGCAAGACGAACCACAAAGGGCGACATGACCAAAGAGTGGATTCTTAGGAAAGCGAAGCGGATTCAGGAGCCGTTTTGAATCGGAATCATGGTGTGGGACGTATTGATCGGTTTTATGCCAGAGCCCAAGTCAGAATTTATCGTCTGTGACTCGCGACTGTTCAACGCTAACCAAGCGAGGTCTCATAGACTGTTCTCAATGATCACCACCAATCTAAAGAGCGCGCTGCCCCGACCAGCTTGACCAACCACTCGCCGCGCGCCGGTCTGATGTAAAGCTCGCGCCTTTCCAAACACCACAACCATTGAGCTGGCTTCCTTCCAGCGAAACTTCTTAAACATACAGCGCGCCGCTTGATCGTTCTGATCACACAACGTTGGCTGTTCCTGCTGCCGCTTTGTCTGAAAACTTCAACGAGCGCAACACCAAATTGGTTCAGGTTCGCCGCCCTGCCTTCTCAACAAGAGTGTCTAAATCACGTCATTCCACTCCTAGAGGACACCCTTCAGTTTCGTGGGTTTACTCGACTTCTCCATTCATGATTGTCCTTGACAAAATGTCATCTCAACTTTTCATCCCTTTTTTTTGACTTTTCGTCTTTGTCTTGCCACAGCCTTTGTTGCAATCTTTCTGTCCTTTGGATTGTTCTTCCTAACTCCCTTCCTCTTCTTCTCTGAGGCTTGTTGTCCATCAACTTCAACTTCACCAATGACTGGCGACCCCAGTGCCTCATAGCGCATACTGATCCAACTATCCGGCCAACGTGACTCCTTCGGTTGGCAATTTTGATCTTCACGCCCTCCTCTCATCGGGCCCCAACCATCGGAGATAAAATTGCAAATTGTCCTCCTTGCCGTTGACTTGGCACACCAATGCCATCTTGCAGTGACTCATCGTCTGGAGCTTGTCTCTGCTCCACTATGTTGTCCTCAAGCTCTTTCCTTCTGACGCTCAAAGCTGTACTTGTCATAGGCCCAATTACTGTCAAGGTCGGCATCTTCCTCTGTCTTTGGCTCTGCGCGATGACCCCTCCCTCCCTCCCTCCCTCCCTCTGTCAGTCTTCCAAAACTTACACTTATGTCTTCTCTTCTGCAGCATCCATCTTTCCTTCTTCTTTTCAACCTGCAGCTTTTCACCTTTTCGGGGTATGTTTTCTGAGCAAAAACCTCGGGCACGGCGGAGCCTCAATTTCCAGAAGGATTATAAGCCGGTCAGGTGCGGCAAATGAACTGCGCCTTGAAAAAGCCGTCGGAAGAGTATAGCCGCATAGCCAAATGGCCACACGCGTTTGCCAAATTGCTTTTCAAGGGCCCTTTACACGCAACCGTCCGCTAAGCGCTTTGAATGCGATCGATAATGTTTCGCGCGAGGCTCGGTCGCCTTGCCGTTTTGAGTGCCGCTGTGCCACGTCAGGCCCGAAAGTGCCGAAATCGCGTGGCGCGGTGCAAATTTGGCGGTGGGCGCGGCGCGCTTGGAAGTTGAACTCTTGAAACAGGCGCAGGGAATCGTGAGGCCGGGACGTTTGGCGGTGGTGAACGTCGCTGCACTGTTGGGATTGGCACATCGGCGGGCGCGCTTGTTAGGAGGGCTGCTTGATTCGTCTTTCTGATCAGACTTCCCACTTTGGGGGACGTCCTCGATTTGACTCGTGGAGGATGCCTTGCGGGAAGTTTTGAACTTTGGAGACTTGACGCATGAACTTTGTTTGGAGACTTGGCGCCTGACTTTCGAGGAAGTCTTGTCCGAATCCCTCGCTTTGAAGACTCGACACATGACTTCCGAAGGAAATCTCATGTCCTTGATGTCGCTGTGCCACGTGGTTTGGCACGGCCTCGGTGGCCCCGCCGTGCCAAATGACACGCGTGCGCAAACGCGGCGCGGCGCTGGTGAGCGGGACGGTTTGCGGTCGGGTGTCCCACACGACTGCACCACAATAGCACCCCGCAACAGTGTCCCATAAGTGTGAAACAATTCGCACGCGCGCATTCGGGTTCGCGGGCATCATCTTCCTTCATTTTTCGGCCCGGGGTCGGCCATTTGCTCTGAGGCGGGAGCGGCTGTCCAAGAAACAAAACAAAAAACGTAATCAATCGTAAAGGTGCACGTTGCTCGTCTCCTACAGGGGGGTTCTGTGGCCTGATGAAATAGCGCTTGTCTTCAAATTCAAACAAAATTCGCTCAATTCTTGGCAGCGCTGTAAATGGCTATGTTTTCCGATTGCTTTTCAAACCTTTCGTGACTGCAGTGAGAGCACAATCAGAATCACTTTAAAAATACCTTCGACATGCAAAGACATTGGTTCTCGAACGACACTTACGCAGATATTAATATACATATTATTCAGCATGCGTTGTTTTACTGCGGATCCTTTTCTGGTCTGGAAATGGCGGCCTTCAAGGTACGCTTCTCGATTTGTGTGCGTCACCTATGGTGATCTACACCTGCACATGACTGAGCGCTTTCTACCTCCATTCGCACTCCTCCTTCATCTCTGGAGTATCAACTCTTGAGATGACCTCAACTCGTGAAGTTAAAGCACTCTTCCATTTGAGGATACAACTTGCGTTCTATTTCCCAGTCTTCCTTCCGGGCATAATGGAACCAGCCTGCCTCGATCCGGCTGAGCTCATTTCTGGCTTTCAGCTCGGCTCGATTGAATTCTTGTTCATGAAATTAAAATCGCTGTCAGAAATTTCGATCGGCTCTGGGTTCCATTCCGCTCCACGCGGTGGTGTTGCACCTTCTCTCATGTTCTCCATGGCTGTTGTCCAACTCTTGCTTAGACACCTTTGGACACCATTTTCAACAGAAGGAATCATTTCTTGGTTAACGACGTCGCTCGTAGAAACGACGCTGTAGGAGCTACAATACGCATCATTACGTAGTTTTACGCAGCAATTTCGCAAGTCATACGCATCATTTTTCGCAAAGGACATCATACGGCTTGCTTTGTAGAAACGGCGTCCAAAGCACATCATTGGAGCGTCTAGGTGGTCCATTGCCTGCGTGCTCAGAAAGATCAAGGGCAATGGCCTGAGAGAGTAGCTCCCACTGGCTGGGCTGTAGACGTCGTCCCTCTTGTCATTGGCAAACTCCCTGGCGACCAAACGTGATCGTCTCAACCACTTCTTCTCCTTGGCCCCATCGCCATTGACCTTGGTCTTGATGAGCCAGTCTCTGACAAACTTGGTTGTGAGCTTGTCCAAAAAGATATCTTCCATCTCCAAGTCCGCCCCCATTCTCTTCAACCTCTGCTCTTCCACCTTGTCCGCAAGCTCTTCAATCGTCGGTGGTGGCTGAGGTGGTGTCCTGCTTAGGGGTTCCTCACTCCACAAGGCGTCAGGGATGACTCCAGGCTTCAAACCTTCGATCTTCCTCTCCCTCTTCTATTGCCAGAGTTTCAACGTTTCAACGTCCACGACCTCGTCCAAGTGGTACATCTTGTCCCCTTCCAGGTTCACCTCCTCAACTCTCCTCTCCACCAGCTCCATCCGTGTAGCGCTCGAAGACGATGTTGCACCTTCCACCTCAATCCTTTGTTTCTTGACTCCTTCCATTCGAGGCTTCTTAGCTTCTGGCTCAATCTTGACTGCCGAAAGTGGTGGCAGCGTTTTTCTCAAAGTTCTCTCTTCTTGAGTCCCCTGTTCATCGTCCCATGGTAGTGGATGAACGAACAAGAACTGGAGTTGTTGGCAATCCAGCACTTTGCTCCTCCACTTGTGGGGCTCTTGGGGCTGGTGCCCGACCTTCAGCTGCCAAGGCACCCGAAACTTCCTCCTCTGGTACGCCAAGCATCAATTGAGCTTCTTGGATCTCACGTCGCTGCTCCTCTTGGCCCTCCTTTGATCGTGCGTAGTCGTAGATTGTTGGGTTTCCAGGCAGGCTCTTCCTCCTCACGTTCAATGGGATCGGGCCAACTTCTCGTTTCGACGGCGCAATGCGTCCACCGAAACTCACCTGAAACTCTCAACTATGCGCAGTGAAGTCCCTGAAATAGGTCACGCTTGGGCCATGGTCTGTCAATGCGTCTCACTGACCTTGTCCACAGCGCATTCGACCCTTCTCCCACGACGCAAGCATCCTGCCCCTCCGTCTTGCCCAGAAAGATTGCCATCCGCCACTTGGGGTTGCCCTTTCCTGTAAGAGGCTTCACGTAGGCATACACTGGACAACCAAATGGGACCAGGCGACTCATAGAATTTGGCCTGCGTCAACTCGAAGCTCATGCCACACGCTGCTGCCCAGCTCCACAAGGCAAGGTTGCTGTTGAACCTCAATCCAACCTTCTTCATCAACGACTCCATGCATGAGGGACCAGCCAGTCCTCGAATACGCTGGATGGCATTCTCTGCCAAAGAATTTCCTGCAGAATCCTTCGCCCAGGTCGTGTAGATCCTCGCACCAAGTGCGTGGCGGGAGTTCAACAGATACGTAGCAGCGCCCTCATTGTAGGCTCATTGTCTGCATAGAGTCCAACCTCTGTATGGCCCAGGTGCTGTATGAAGGTCATAGTCTCCCGACGCACGAGGCTTAACTGCCCCTTTGAGAGCAGGGGGACGGCACATAATGATCCAGTTTGGCTGCGTGACAGGACCAACCATAGAGCCGTCATCTCAGCTCCTCCACATCGGTCTTCTCCCTGCTGCTCACCCTGCTCTTGTTGCAGGTCAACAACTTCTTGTCCATCTTCGTCCACGGCCACTGGCATAGGTCGATCCATCTCACCAGCCTTTGCGTAACAGAAACTCATGCTGATGAATTGGAACGCCAGAGAGTCGCGCTGCCCCTGTGCACAAATGACGGTCTGGCCGGCCACGATGCATCAAACATGTCTCGCACCAGGGTTGATATGGAGTGTGCGTCACTCACGCAGAAACTGCTCAGCTTCTGAAGGCACCTTCACCAGCGGCTGAAGCCTTGGCTGCCTAGCCACCTCCATCTGATGCTCGCGCTTTC